ACTTGTCCCAATACAAATAAAATAAAGTGTTTTTAAATGGGGATGAAGCCTGGGAGCGATTAGCTCAGCATAAAGACTGGGGACAAGTTTAGACCATACACAGACAGAATTGTAAAAACAACTAGGAAGTCACTGCCACTGTTTGCCAAGAAATTGTTATGCATGGTAACGCATGTTTCCCAAAATGTTGAAGTATTCCTTTAAAAAAGATCACGTCAAAATTTCACACAAATGTATCACGTATAAAGGAGCTGTGCCTGTGTTTGCCTGTATCTTCAGTCTACTTGGATTTATATCATACAAGACCTCATCTGTGTGTGGGATTTTGGACCATCTTCATAGGGCAAAAAGTCTTGGTCTTTGAGGAATGAGGGAGGAAGAGATCTAGTTCACAGATTTTAAATAGAAATTATGTTGACATCTGATGACTGTAAAGGTATGAAGGACACCCGACATCACTCTGGTGTTTATAACACTATACGTGAATTGTTTGGCAGTATGTGTTTGTGTGTATGTGTGTTGGGATATTATTAGGTCGGAGTATGCAAACATCTTCCTGGCACTCTAAAAGGTTTTGAAGTTATTTGGCCATTATGCAAAATAATCAGATATATCGCAGCAGACAGACTGTAGCTGCAGATGTAAATGTGCCGAGTGGGAAATAGATGATTCATCAGAACGCATAACTGTTTGCTCATGGGTTCATATTTGTGTCCCTCAAATCCATGGAGGGATTTCTCAATGGGCCTACCAGGCACAGAGCGGGCCGCAGGGGTGAAAGGGATCCTATAGGCAGGAGTCTCTGTGTGAAGATTTCTCATTGCACAGTGAAATGGGAAAAAAAGTTATTCCAGTGAACGGAAGGAATGACCTAAACATTCACTTTGAAGTTGTCACAAGAAAGAAGCCATCATAACATCTTCAAAGGGAGTGTTTACCCCCTCAGGTTTTCTGTTGGACGTTTAGCACTAGTGCTCCGTCCTGACATCACACAATACGGGTTCTCCGAGTCTGCAGGGATAAATCAAAAATGTGATCGCACAGTTGCGGTAGAAGGAGCAATTTTAGGCATTCCTGTCCAAGGACCCATCATTTCATAATCCATGCTCGCATCAAAATATGCATTATGCAAGAGGAAGATTCAAAGACCAGTGGTGCTGTGAGAATTTGGGTTTCTGTATTGGAACTCCAGAGGAGCTCAAAGAAAAGTGAAGAAATGAAAATTACACCTCTACCAGAAGGGCAAGAAATGTATAAATCGGCATTCTGGCACATCTGTGAGTATTAAAAGAATCTATGCAGGAGGGCAAGAATAAATCAAGAAAACACCTGATCTAGCATCTGCTGCCTTCTTTGGGATGTTCAAATGAGAATGAGTGAGATTTTTAACATTCAAATGATGCATTTCTGTTTGAACACCCTGAAAATGCAATTAAAAAAAAAAAAAAAGATAAATACTTGTGTTGCCACTTTCATTTACATGTTTCCAGTTTCCAGTTTCCTTGTGCACCAGTTAGAGAAACTGCGAGATTTCGCACAGATAATTAACAATCCTGATGATTATCTTTTTTATTAATGTACATTATTTGCGACTTGCATGTCCTGATTCTCTGTGAAATCTTATTTCTTCTTACTGTGGCGCATATTACATGGTTCCACTCCTTCCACAGTATTTTTTTTTTACGCAAGAAATCTTACAAACTGTTTGACTCCTTGTGACCTCTGTGTCTTGCCTCATATTGCTTCAGCTCAGCTTATAAATGTGGTCACATCAGACCTCCTTTGAAGTTGACATGTACCTCTAATTGAAATTAAACTTTGAAGTTACATTTTTCTTTCCATTTGGTGTTTCTGCTTAGTTATAAGATGTTTTAAAGTGTGTGATATTTAGGAGGATCTATTGGCAGAAACGGAATATAATATTCACAGGTATGTTGTCATACATATATATATAATCACGAAAAATAGTAATTGCGGTTTTAAACCTTAGAATGAGCTGTTAGCCCAGAAAGGACAAACACTGGCTCTATAGATAGGGCATCTTGCCATTTTCACAGCCACCGTAGTTTCTCCTACTTGCTTGGAAGGTTGAGCTATATTCAAATGGTTGCAATCTGCAACTTCACCGCTAGATGCCACTGAATCCTACACACCGATTCTTGAACATTTACAGTTATGACGTACACATTCATTCTTTACCTCTGGGTGTCCGAATTTAACATATATGACTGACAGAAATGCAAATATGTATATAAGTAATATATTGTTAATATATTAAACATTAATTTTTCTTGAATACAACCACGTAATTCAGCATTATCTGTGACTAAATTGTAAACCCAGCCCATATTTCATTATTTTGATTAATGCTGCAGGAAAAAAAAAGGCATCTGCCATGTTTTCTAGTTCTGGCAACTGCCACTGTTTAATGACCTCAAAGGACACACAGCTTATACCAGCTAAAAATGATTCTCCCTTTTCTTGTCATGCAAGGAATTTAAGGATAAAGTCTTTAGCAGAGAGGAATATAGTCATGCTGAGGAACAAAAACTACAAAAGCGGGCAAATCTCTAGTATTATAATCCCTGTGTATGACAGTAGTTTTTGAAGTCAAATCATTCCTACAATGAAATTCTCCTCCTGTCTGTCTTCGGAAGAAAAAGAAATCTATGAAACCGCTTGCTTAGTCTAAGAAGCAGAGCGGTGGCAGCAAATTCCAAGCTTCCATCATCATCTCACACACACGCACACCCACCCACAC